TCCCCATCTCTAAATCCCCCCCACAGGATGTTCTTGCTCTTCTTCATTCCCACAGGCAGGTTGACTAGGTCCCTCTGTTGCCCTTGAACTAATCTCTTCCCTAGCAGCCACAGGCGGGTACACAGAACCTAGGGCTGCAGCTGGAGCTGTGTCTGTTTTAACAACCATCTCAGTAGCAGAGGCCGAGCTGTCAGTCCTGCCAGGATCGGCCAACTCCCCTTCATGCAGCTTATTCTCAGAGTCTGAGCTGTCAGTCTTCTCGTGTGCACCAGGAAATCTCACCAAAACACATACGCACAACTTATCCTCTGCTGGGGGAAGGTAATTCTGCGTTTCTGCATTAGGTGTGATTTCCACATTCATTCATTTCTGATGCAGAATTTCAGAAAATCATCCTCTTCCCAGAAAGTAGCCCATTACACAGAGGCACTATGGTGTAGTGGTCACAATAATAGAGTGGGGCTTGGGAGATCTGGGTTCTAATCTAATGCCATGAAGCTCACTCAGCGACTTTGGGCCAGTCACAGCTTCTCAGCCTGATGTACTTCACAGGGATCTTGTTGTGAGAACAAACCAGACAGGAGAAGAAGCCTGTAAACCAATCTGCATTCCTTGAAAGAGGAAAAATGGTGGGATATAAATGTAATATAATAATAATGCAAAGGAAGCATGGTACAGTGGCTTGTGCTAAATTAGGAGCAGAGAAAGCCAGACTCAAATCCCAGTTCAGTGCAAAACCAACTACCTGACTTAAGGTCCATCACTGTCTTTCCAACTATCCTACCTCAGAGGCTTATTGTGAGGGTAAAACCACGTACATTGTCTTCAACTACCTGGAAAAAGGGCAGGATATACAAACAATGGACTTAGGGGTAGACTTTTTCAAGGATAAGTAATATTACTATCTTACATGCTATAAGAAACTCATACAGGGCAGATAAAAATCAATAATTTTTTTAAAAAATTAAAAAATTAGATTTTAATTTAAATTGGATTTTTAAATAAAATGCTTTTTGAGCAAAAATTTATCTAGAAATAGTTTTCTATTTAAGATATATTATAGTGCAAAGGTTATTCATCATGGAATGAGGATTTTTTTTTTAAATAATGTAGCATGAGGCTATATATTCATGCAATCTTTCTTTCTTTCTTTCTTTTTGGTATTTCACTAATCCATTCACAATGTCATTCTCTTCCAGAGGTTTCTGTAAGATTGTTGGGAAATTTCTCTATCTAGAAGATTATCACAGATGCTTAATTTTACACTTCTCAGATTTGTGTCTACAGAGATCACATGCCTCTTCTTCACAGCAAAAATGGTATAAAATAAACATACAGAGTTAAGAAAAAGACCTTAATCCCATTGTTCCTTTGCAAATCTATGTATACAGAATCATCCCCTTACCTCTTAAGTGCCAAGTTTCAAAAAATTCAATGAATAGAAGATGATTGTTGGGAGTGGAATAGATCTGCACAAGAAGCTAAGTGCAAGTGGAGAGAAGCAAGCAGTAATAATGAAAGTGAAATCTTTTGAGCAGAATACTCCACAAGCCTTTGAATCTTTCTGTGTCTAGCCTGAGTTTTATCATATTCTTCCCCTGTGTAAGGCAGGCATGCATGTAAATTATGTAGTATTTGGTCTAGTGGTCAGAAATGATGCAGGAGAATGACACACAGAATTCTGTAAAGCCAACTATCTGTTTATTGCTCATTCATACTTCAGACAACTGCATACCTGGACATCACTGGATGGCCAATAAAGAAATCAAATAGACTACATAATTAGGAGATGTATTCTCACTACCAAAGCAAGACCAGGAGCAGACTGTGGCAGTGAACAAGGACAATTAAGAACAACAAGAAAAAGATAATTAACATAGTACTAAAATAAACTTAAATAACAACCTTGAGGAAGTCCACATAAAGAACAGGTTTGCATTATTGAACTCAACTGACCATGAAACGGAAGAAATGTAGCCTGAAAACAAAGATATTAAGGAAGAAGAAGAAAAAATCCCTGTAGCTAAAAAAAAGAAAGAAAGGAAGCAGGGGAAGCCTAGATGGATGACTGAAGAAATAGTAACAACTAAAGCTCAGAACAAGTGAGAAGCAAAAGAAAAAGGTGACAAAGATAGGGACAGAATCCTGAATTCAACTTTTCAGTGACTGTCACATAGAACCGAAATAATGATTGCAATGGTCAGTACAAAGAAGTAAAAGAGAACAACAAAAGAGGAAAAGCTAGAGCCAAGAAATCAAAGGGAAATTCAAACCTCGATTAGGAATGCTATCTGGCAAGAAGAAAATAGAGAGAAAGTAAAAATAACATATGGAAGAACTACATAGGAGAGAAAAAGGGATGATGGACTCCTACATAGAAGAATCCTATCTATGATACAGGTCACACATGAGGACAATCAAATGTGGACACAAAAATTTCATCTGGAACCACGCATAGCTTCTAATGATCCACACATTCAAAGGCTTTGCTGTAGGCATAGAGTAATCTTCTGAACTTCTTTGGTTTGCTTCAGTAGATTTGCAAAATGATCTCAAGTGCCTCTTCCTTTTTGAAATCTAGTTTGAATGTCAAGATGGATTTTCTGCTTTTGCTCCATAGAAGGTTCTTTGTTGTACTTCCTTTGAGCATCACTTTGTTTGCATGGGAAATTAGTGCAATGATCCTGTAGTTGCTTGGCATATCCTTTCTTGGGGATTGGAATATATGTTGAGTTTTCCATATGATGGCCACTGTAAAATTTTCCATATTCTTTGCCATATTCACGTTAGGTTTTGGACCAATTCAGCCTCTGTAGCTTGGAAAAGTTTTATTGGTACCATGTCTGCCCCTTGTGCTTTATTTCTTCCAACTGTTTTCAGAACAGCTTTCAAACTACTTTCTAATATTGCAGGTTCTTCCTCATAGGGTTCTGTTATGTAGGAGTCTGTCATCCTTTTTCCATTCTACATAGTTCTTCTATAACAGTACTCATATAACAGTAGCTGTTATAGAGTAGGACAGAATACTGAGAAACAGAATGGTTTCCTATAGGCAAAGGTGTCATACAAAGGTGCATTTTATCTCCCTATCTGTTTAGCCTGTATGCAGAATATATCATAAGGAAAGTTGGGTTAGTATCAAAGGAAGAAGTGAAAATTGGTGGAAGATACTTCAATAATTTAAAATATGGAGATAATACAATATTACTGACTGAAAACTACAAGGAACTGAAACGGCTGAAACTGAAATTGAAATTTTGAAAGATTTTACTTACGTTGACTCAATCATTAATTCAAGAAATTCAAAGAAGACTGAGACTTGGAAGGGCAGCAATGAAGGAACCAGAAATGATAATTAAGTGCAAGGATGTTTCACATTGACACCAAGGTCAAGATAATCCAAACTACTGTATTCTCAATTGCTATGTATGATTGTGAAAGCTGGACAGTGAAGAAAGCCAGCATGAAGAAAATTGATGTGTTCAAAACATGGTGCTGGAGGAGAGCTTTGCTAATACCTTGGACTGACAGGAAGAGGAAAAAGTGAATCCTAGATGAAATCAAGCCAGAATTTGCCCTGAAAACGAATATAACAAAGGTAAAGCTTTCATACTTCAGGCATATCATGAGAAGACAAGAGTTATGGAGAAAGTAATAATGCTATGGAAATTCAACTCCAGAAGAAGAGGTTAACCAAGTATGAGATGCACGGATTCCATAAAGGAGGCCACAGCCTGGAGTGTACAAGAGCTGAGCAGGACTGTCAAGGACAGGCCATTTTGGAGGCACCCAGCACAGAGTCACCATAAATCAGAGGCAACATGACTACTGGTAACAACCAGCACACTACAAAATTTAACCTTTTCCACAGAAAAGGTCATCTTTAATTCAAATATTTATTCATTTCTACAAAGCCCAATAGGGGTAACTCTCAAGGATGTTGATTTTTTAAAAATGGTGGCAAGTTTGGGAGGTGCTACCCCACTCACATTTGTTCACTGTCTGATGTGTGTCTTTAGAACAAGCTTCCAACCTTGTGCCTTCCAGTTGTGTTGGGGCACATGCATGGCCAATGGGCAGTATACCAATTGCACTCTAAAACATCTGGAGGGCAGAATGGTGAAGAAGAGTACTTTATTAAGGGGGAAAACCGGTTGAAATGTAGCTTATACATTTGACAGTTGTAAAGAACCCCCTCCTAGCTAATTTGGAGTTTTCAACATTGCTCTGTCTTGAAGATGTCTGCTTTTGGCTTAATAGCACAAACATGTCACCTTCTTCCCACTGACTGCATATTCCATTTGGGAGGGAACGCGAAAAAGACATGCTACATCCTGACGAAGGATGATTAAGCGCTGTTTAAAAATCACGACTCTTCTTCGCCTTGTAAATATCTAGCCTAACACACGAAGTGTCATCTTCTCCGCGTCTACGTCTGCTCCAGCCAAGCCAAACAAGCTTCAACTCCCCGACGGGGGATAATCGGCAAGCTCCGCGTTGAGTGGGAATTACTGGAACGCGCAACGAAGGAGTGGATGACGCTGAAGAGTTACCAGCGCTTGAAGGGGGAAAGAAGGCTGCAGCGGAGGAGAAAGGGATGCCCGCGAGGCGAAGAGAAGTCAAACGCAGAAGCAACTTTTGCACACAAAACGCTCGGTGCTATCTAGCATATGCAGCTGCGCGACTGAAAAGTGCCAGCGGCTTGTTTGCCAAGCAAACAAGGTGAAGGCGGGCGACTATTTTTTCTGCTTTGCATCTTCGTAGTATATGTGCTAAGAGCCCATAACAGATCTGCGTGAGGCACCTAGGGTCGCAACAAGATGCGCAACTAAGGGCGCAATCCGAGCCGTGCAGCTCCTTGCCTTGGTAGGCTATCGCTCCCCAAGGACGCGTCTCTGCAGCCCGCCTTTTGCGTTCTCCTCCTCCCGTCCCAAGTGGGCTCCAAAGGCGTGGACCTTTCCAAGCCGCCCCCACCCTTCGCCGCGCGTCTGGCCCCTTACCCGACTCCACGAGCTTGACGACGGGCTCCGAGATGGCCGCTTCTATAGAAATGGTGTCGTTAGCGCTCCCGGGCTCCTCAGCCACTACGTTCAGGAGCAAGACCAGCAAGCGCACAAGCTTCCGCGTACCTCCGCCCTCGCGGAGCCCCATTTTGTTCCTTCCTGGAGCACCTGCTGCCGGACTGGCCAGAGGCGCTTGGTCTGGAAGCCGCGCCCGGAGCAACCACTGAGGCGTCACAATCGGACCCGCGCAGGATTCGAGCAGCGCCCGCGGACCAAGCGCGACTTTGGCGCAGGCCCTTTCTCTGTCCGCAAGTCCCCTCCGGGAAGACGCAGTGAGCGGGAAACTGGGGGCTTGCTCCTGGGCTTCAGCCTGCCATTTGCCTCTTCGCCGGACCTCCCAGAAACTGCAGGATCCCCTCCTGTGTAACGCCCAAAGTTTATCGATTCTTACGAGGGCCAAAACATCGTCGCGCTACTTATTGCAGGAATCCTTTCAGGCTCAGCGTAGGTTGCTCGAAATTCTTCTTACATAGGGTCTTCGTTCAGGATCTGCGACCTGCTAGAGCCTTTGGCCTGCAGCTCCCATCAGTCCCAAACCAGGCTTGCTAATGATGAGTAATGGGCGTTGCAGGCCAAAGCCTCTGTAAGATCACAAGTTGCTCACTCCTGAATAAACATCTAAGAGTTTTGTTCTTGCCCCCACCATGATACCCTCCTGCCTCTCAAATATCCCCTAAATGTGTGCATAGTCTGGAGGGATTGTCGCTTCCAAATATAATGCCCTTCTCCCCTAAGTTCCTTGTTAGCAAAGAAGCATCAGCTAGGCAGTGGTATCACAGCTCTCTACAATGCCCTGAATGCATAGTAAGGCTTTTTCTCCGGTCAGCAGCATACTTTGATCACTGAGCCTCACAAATGCATTCACAGCCTTTGCTCAGGGTGTGTCCATGTGTGTTGGGGAGGGGGAACCTAGATGCCCACCAAACCCTATGTAAGAAGTTAGGACTCTTAGACTGGATCAAACCATTGGTGCATCTAGGCACAGATTCCAGTGCTTCAGGCTGAAGATCTTCCTGCTCTACCTAAAGGTTTCAAGGATTGAACTTTGCCACCTGCCCTTTCCACTACAGCTACAGCTCCCTGCCCCCTAGACCTTCTTTGTCGATGCTATGTGCTGTCAAGTTGCCTTGTACTTAAGGCCACCCTATGAGTGAATGCCCTCCAAAATGCTATGTGATTCACAGCCCTGCTCAGCTCTTGTCTTCCTCATCCTCCCTGTTTCAGAGTACAACTTGAGTTATTGCTGACCATTGGTCTTGTGTGTACCCCAACTCATCCAGGGGGGCACCAAGTTGGGAAGCCCTGTTCTGAAGACATACATCAGATAAAACGTATCAACAATGAATACACGAGGGTGGGGTAGCACCTCCCAAACTTTTTTAAATTGTTGTCAACAGCCCAGAGGTATCCACTATTGGGCCATGTAGAAATGTGACATACGAATAAATTTTTGAATGAAAGGTGACATTTTCAGTGGAAAAGGTTTACTTTTAGAATGTGTTTGTTGTTACAGGCCATCAAATCATCTCTGACTTATTGTGACCCTATGAGTGAGTTGACTGCCTTCCAAAATGGCCTGTCCTTGACAGCCCTGCTCAGGTCTTGTAAACTCAAGTCTGTGACTTCCTTTATGGAATCAATCCATCTAATATTTGATCTTCCTCTTCTGCCTTTTAGTTTCTTTAGCATTATTGTCTTCTCCAGTATGTTGTTGCCTTGTCATGATGTGTCTGAAATATGACAGGTTTAGTTTTAGGTATTAGCAAAGCTGTCCTCAAGCACCATGTTTTGAACACATTGAGTTTTTTTCTTGTCAGCATTCGTCACTGTCCAGTTTTTGCATCCTTACATGTATCAAGAATACAAAAGCATGAAAGCCCTTGGCTTTGGTCTCATCCTTACACTTAAATATATTTTCTGGTTCCTTCATTGCTTCCCTCAGTCTTCTGATTTGTTGGCTACAGTCTTCCTTTGCATTGATGACTGAGGTGAGTTACGTAAATTCTTTCACAACTTCAATTTCTTTACTGTTGACCTTTGTGTAATTCTTCTGTAATCATGATTTCTTAATCTTCAGCTGCTGTCCTGCTTTTGCTCTTCCTCGTTTAATTCCATCCAGAGTCATTTCAGTTGCTTGTAGCTTTATGCCAGTATTATCATATCATCTGCATATCTTAAATTATTCATGTATTTTCCACCAATTTTCACTCCTCCTTTCCTTTCTCTGATTTTCTTATGATGTGTTCTTCATATAGACTGAACATATATGAAAATACAACCTGTTGGACGATGTTGCCTATAGGGAACCATTCTGTTTTTCCATGTTCTTTTCCTAACAGTAGTGTTTTGTCCATGATTAGGTTATCTGACAAGACATTCAAGTGTTGAAGCATACCCATTTCTTTTAGGACCATGCGTAGCTCCTCTTAATCCACACACAGTAGATTAAGGCTTTGCTGTAGTTTATAAAGCACAAACTGATCTTCTGAAATTCTTTGGTATGCTCCAATAGACATTGTATATTTGCAATATGAGACCTTCTTCTTGCTGATCTTTTATTACCTTTAAGATTTTTGGAATTTAAAATACAATCCTATATGGATCTCATAAATTCTGTCAAGTTGATTAAGGTTTAACCTCAAATAAATGTATACGTTCACTGCCTTAGGCTTTATTAGTAAAATACCATGTTGCAAAAGTATAGAATGTCTGCCTTCCATTACTAGCTGTCATCCCTTAGCTTGTAGTCTGCATGCTCACTCTTGCCATAGTCACTGGGCTAGACCACCCCTCATGTGGCTTCTGAGATTGTCACACTAGCTGCCTCTCTGCTGAATGGAGTCACTGGTGCCGTGGGCATGTGGTCGGGGGAACTCTGGAAAGCAGTGGAGAATGGGAGAGCCTGGTGTGCTGTGTCCATGGCATTGTGAAGAGTCAGGCACGACTTTGCAACTGAACGAGATCTGCCTGTCCATTCTTAATATAGTATGGGTCACTTGTGTTGTTGTTTTCTGGACACCAGCACAGATCCTTTCCTAACCACACTAAATGCAGTTAGTGTGCAGTTAACTTCATGATAACAGCCAGAACCACAATGTAAAGCAATCTCTACATGGCAGCCATGATTTGTAGTCATGTTATCAATGTATGAACATTGTGAGTTCTTTCCTTCTGTCAGGAGAATGCAGCTAGCCCTGAGGAACGAAAAGACCGTTCTATGTACAGTTGATAGTCATTATTTTGAATGCTTAGGATGAAATAGGTATATGTTTTAATACATTAATCTAAAGAACTGGCAAGTACCACATGCAATTCTTGAGGAAGCAGATAATCTAGGCCACTTGCATAAAGTTAGGAATTAGTTCCCTCCTTCCATTTAACACTTCAGATTATATTCATATAGCAATTCTTTATCCCTTCTCTTTTGAATTCAGCATTTAGTTTTATTTTTTCCATGCCTGATAACTCTTGCAGAAGTCTACTCAGAAGTAAGTCTTACTGAGTGCAGTGGAAAAAGCTTACTAGATTGTGACAGTTAAGCATTAGCAAAAATAATCCTCAGATATCAAAACGTATGATCTTTTTCAGCAGGCATAACAGCTCTTGTCCTCTGGAACAGTTAAATGTCAACCAACAGAAAGCTTTCTAAGTACAAATGATAGGACATTAACAGAAAGCTGAATTTGAGACTAGAGAACTCTTCCAGTGGGAGATGGGAAACATCGCAGACCACTCTATAGAAGGCAAAGATAATTTCTTTAACTCAATTTCCTGCCAGTAATTTCTCCCACACAAAGGCAAGGAAAACTCCCTGTCTCACTGACATAACAAACACCTCTGAAAACTGAACATATTTTTTTCCTCTAGGAAATGAAGAGAATGATTATGGAATATTTAAAAACTAATCAAGGTGCTTAAATAGCTAACCGGAGAGTTGTAAATGTTTCTAACTGGAAAATCAGTCTTTATGAAATTGGAAACTACTGTGATACCTTGGAGATAATTGGTCAGTTGTGGTATGAACTTTTGCAAGCTGTTGCATTGGAGTGCGGTAGTGAAAAGGTTTGGGTTATGTCCTAAAACCTGTTAGGCCAAATCTTAGACCAGATGAGAGATGAACTCATCTGTCAAGATGCTGTTTATTAGTCTTAGCCTTCCTGTTATACTAAGGAGTAATACTGTAAGCCTGCCTTAGATTAGGGATAGGCAGAAGGTACCTCTGGATCTCTGGGGAATTTGCAATAGATAAGAAAGACTTCCTGTCTCCCAATTGTCTAACAATAACAACAGATAAAGAGCTTTTTCTCTGTAAAATTACACTGTCAGCAAATAATATTTGGGAAGAACCTGAAGCAGAGTTTTGTGTGTCAGAACTTGTAAACTTAGTTCAGATGTGGATCACAAATTCTGGACTAAACATGTACTCTGAGGATCCTTACTTTTTGGCAATATTTGACCATGAGCAGCTATTTTGTACCCACTCTGGTTGGCGGACTTCAGAGGTCTAATAAAAAGAAAAATAAAGCAGATCCTGTAAACTTAAAGTCTACTGAATCTGCCTTAGATGATTATTCTGATCATTGTGGCAATATATTGAAAACATTTTGTGCGCTACAGAAAATGCTGTAGAAACATACTAACAGTATGGTTCTATGCATGTTTACTCCAGTAAGTCCAACGGTGTTCAAGGTGCTTCCAGAAAGACTTCTGTGGTACCAGCACCCTGCCTACTTCATGAAATTTTACTGGGGCAGGGGGAGTGACAGCCAACATCTGCTTTGAAGCCTTCCAAGTTTTTTCACCACTTTTTCACCTTTTTCCTTAACATTTAAAGAAACAAAAATGTAAGTGCTACACAATGTTTTCTTCTTATTAACATTAGGTGCTCTTTATCTGGAAGCGCCCTAACTCTCAAGTAAATGTGCATAGGATTGCAGCTTTAGAATTATTAATCCTGTGAAGTTTACACTGAAGTAAGTCCTGATTTCAGCTGAAGTTTTCCAAGTATATTTAAGAGCTCAACCTTTGTTTTAAAAGTCTTGAAATATATGCTGCTAACACTAAATTCACATCTGCATTTAGACTCTT